CTTGGACCTAACTAGAATGCCAGCGTTCGATTTCACCGCGTCTTCGGTGGAGATGTGTCACCGTTTACGCTCGCCTTAGTGACAATTTTCTAAAATGGAAACTCGTGGGAAATCATTACAGTGTTTATACATCTCCCCTGTCGGACAGCGTTATCCTGTGATATTTTAGCAGTGTTTTCTGCTGCGTGATGGCATCTAGTGAAGGTTAAGGCGGACAAGTCCCTCCGTAATTTTGCGGCTACATTTTACTTACTGAAGAAGAAAAAAATAACTGACAATTAAGTATTTGGGATGTCACGAAAGAACATGTGCCGTGAATCAATGGGGTCCTCTGGGAGCATGATTTTATAAAGCTGAGAAGGTAGAAAGATCGAGATTTTGTGATTTGTGTTACATGATGATAATTGCACCTTTTCAATAAAAAAGACATTTCTCCTGTAGTAAACATGGAGCTTGCAGGGGAGGCATGTAGCATTGCTATTATTTTTCTGCCCCATTCAGGCTTTTTTTTTTTTTGCCAAATTTTTATGTAGTGTGTGGGTTCCTTCCTCCCCTCCCCCAATTTTTCCTTTGGAGTGGTACTTCTGAAGTTGCAGCTGGTCTTTCTTTAAGGGAAGTCATTGCATCTTCTGAAAGGGGGTAACATTGTACACAGAGTAATAATACTTGTGTTGTGCTCACCCGATCCTCTTAATTGTCCAGTGCTAATATTGATCAGAGCTGGATATAGTCATAGCAGCGTGTGGCAAGTAGTGGCTCACGCAGTTCTTCGACGTCCATTCCTTTGTGTGCCTTAGCAATAACCTGACTAGTACTCTCTGCCGTTCCTAACAGAGGTTTCGGGTAGAGACTTCATTAGTGCACGGATCTGCTCACTCTGTGGCATCTCCAACCTGCCTGTGTGTAAAAGAGCAACTAGAAAACACGCAGAACTAGACTATCTAGAAACTCTTTTGATGCCCCTCCCCCAGGGGCCACTTGGGCAGCTTTATTGCACAAGCTTCCTTTGGGGCTGGATACTCATTCCCACTCTTGAATGATGTCATGCTCATGGCTTGCCTTAAGCCCTTCCTACGTTTGCGGTGACCTTGCTTTTGGTGAGGATGGGTACATGTTGCACTAAGATGCATCTGGAAAATTATTCTCTCTCTTCTAGCGTTGCACTCGGGGCTTACACCTGTGAAATAAAATTTAATGGTATATAGTTTTAACTGTTTTTCCAACTTGTCACATTTTGAATTCCGAGGGTTGAAGACATGCGTAGATTGCCTGGCACTGCATCCAAGGGATAAACAGCATCAGAACTCTGCCATCGGAGTTGTTGCTTATAATTCATGCACTGCCCGGGGCCTGCAGCCTGTTGGTACCCAGCAGGGAGAACCAGGGTAGCCTCCCTACCAGACAAACATCTACATACAGCCCAGAGCTGCAAGCAATACTGAATTCAGATAGTGAGGTGGTATACACTCCGGCTGGGTTGTAATTGACACAGAGGTGGACAGCTGAAGCAAGAAGGCCAGCGTGGCCTTTGGGGAGCTGGCATGCAGCACAGGCCTCACAGTGCTTTGGGCTCCAGGCCAAATGAACCATTGCCACGTTGGAGCCAAAAGTAGGTATCCTCTGCACTGTTCGGACGTGCGAACCTGCCACTGTCACCACAGTGATTTTTTTAGGGAGCAAAACACTCAGATTTTGTCTGATTTTTGAAGGAATCCATGAGTCACACAGGGCTAAGAAAGTGTTTGCTGCATGGACAATAACTCAACTTCCAAAATTCATAAAATAGGCATTAATACAATTAAAAAGGCTCAAAGGAAGCAGAAGTAACAATTGTCGAACGCTAGCGTGTCAGACTCTTGGAGACATCCACTAATACAGTTACCCTTGAAGGTGGGTGAAGGGGTGTTCGAACCCAGATCTCACTCGAAAGCTTGTGTCTTACGGTATCACACTACTGCTCTGAAGAAGAAACTGACCACACTAAAGAAGGGAACTGATTAACCAAAACTAAAGCTCAGGAAATTAAAATGATGGGAAATATGATTTGATTTTAAAAAGCAGCGTGTGTATATATACATATGTGTGTGTGCTTATTTAAGAGTTAATCTGTTGAGCAAAGTAGGGTGATTTAGACCAGATAGGGATCTCACGCACTTAACATGCACCAGGATGCGTCTTCAAGAAGGATCTTGGTTTTTCTTGGGCAAAAGCTTGTCACGAAACTGAAGAAGCTGTAAATGGAGCAGCTGCAAGACCCCACTTCGCTGTTCAGTCTCTCGTGGAATGAGCTCATGCGTTTATGAACCAAAAATTTGGTTGAACTAATTTAATTTCTCTTTTGCTTCTCTGTACTAATTAATGACAGTCATTTCACTTGCGCATGTATTAAATTAAGTAAATTCTTCTGTGTTGCATTCTATCTCTGTTTAGACTTACTATTTCTTTTTTTATAAGCCTTAGCAGAATTCGGGAATTATACTTGCACCTTGCCTAATAAATGTAAATCCTGAAATGCACATGAGTCATGGCCTCATGGTAAATATTATTCAAGAAATTGCAATTTAATGTTTAACAAAGGTGTTCACAAATTTTTAGTTTTCTGTATCTCCCCTCCCCGCCCCCCCTTTTTGAGTCAGTATATCTCACTCCAAACAATGTGATCATCTATTTGGAGCACTCTGTTTGTGGAGGCTGAGCAGGATTAATTCTTGTCCTTGTGTTGCAGTGTAAACAGCTTTTTGCCTGTCTTTTGTCATTAATGATCATTCTGTAGATGTAGCCAGTGCATTGTAAGCCAATCTGTCAAGGCAAATAAACAATTCACCTTGTTAAAATTCCCTAAATCTTGCATTAATAAAACCAAAGTAACCCCCTGAACACTCAAGAGATGTCTTCCTCCATACTGCCGTGATGGATGACATGTCTAAAGATCCTGGAAATTAAGTAGTTCAGGTCATTAAAAGTGTCCCACACTTGTTATTGATTTAATTTATTTTAAAAGGTGGGGGTGGAGATAAGAATGGCCTCCCCCCATTTTTTTTTTAATCTGAAAGCTACCACTTGTACACATAATTAAAACTATTGCCTGGGTGAATAGCTCTGTATTTGTTACAACATTAAGTTTATTATTTAAATAGGCATTATATCATCTTTAATATGTACATAGAAACAAGCAGATAGTCATCGCCACTTGTGTTTTGGCAAAAGTTCCTTCAGGCTTCATGACCTTCGGGACACGCACAAAATTCCCGTAGGCGAATAAAACTTTAGGTGAAGGTCAAATGACGTAAAGGAAAGTAATTGAAATAATAATGGAAGTGTGGCTCAGGGTAGAGAAGTTTTTTGTTTATTTTCTCAAGTTTTAATTGTTCTGCTCTGATAATCAAAAGACAAGTAAATAGTTTGGATGGGTGGGTGGGTGAGTGGATGGATGGTTGGGTGGAAAAGTGAAAAAACATTTATTGAATAATAGATGTTTTTCATTCCATATCACTAGTCTAAGGCAAGTTTGTTATTGATGTGTGTGTGTTGTTTGTCACTAATCTTCTCCACTACCTCATACTTTACTCCACCATGGCTCTTTAGCACCATATCCCAGTGCCCAGCATATTTGCCAAATAAATAGTTGTTTAGTGAATAAAGTATAACTCCAAGCACTTTTCTTCCCTTTTTTAATCCTTTAAGCGCCTGTGGGTTGAGTGGGCTCCACAGGGGATGGGAAAGACCCCGAGGGGCTGGCTCACCAGATGACCTTTCTCCAGGGACTAACCTGCAGGCAGCTTGCACAGCAGTGTAATAAAGGGACATCCTGCTAGGACTGAACATTTACAAGTCCTGAGCAGGGTAACAGTTTCCCAAACTGCCAGAACTGGGGCAGGATATGTCTATTACAATGAAAAGTGATACTTCATAGGAATTGCATCTATATAAGATGCACATAATTTCACCTCACTTTTGTTCTTCATTATATACCTTATGCATCCTACTGCATAATTGTTCTTGATTGGTTATGTGAATATTTCACATGCCATTCTCACTCTTAAAACAACATGTGCTTACTGGGAAAAGTCATGGAAATTAGAAGAACGATCCTGGCGAATAGCTGTATTAATTTTACAGAAATATTTTGCACTAGTTGATGTTTTCCTTCGTGATCTCTGTGCAAAATGGGAGGGAGGGGCAAATAACCAATCAGCTCACACATCAGGCAGACTCTTAAAAATAAATACGCATGAAAATGCACTCTCTAGTTCCCCATTAGATTTCTTCTTGAAATTACATGATTTGGTTGTCTGAGAACTGACATGGTTATGCTGTTATGCGAGCCACTTAGCACACTCCCTAAATGGAAGAACTCTATAGATTTTTTTTCAGGATATACACTGATTTACACTTGGTGGTAAAGTTGTTACTGACCCTTTAAGTGGCGCTGTCCAAACAGCAATAAATGTTAGTTGATCCTAATGCCGAAACAGTGCTAGCTAACGGGTCTTGACTCAGTCTTCTAGTTAGAAAAGCCATTTATAGACTCTTGCAAACCAGAGTGGAGTCTGAGTGAGTGTGTCTGTCATACTGCTTTATATGCACCTATATGTATATAAACACATACTTACATATAAAATATATCAGACCACTTTGTCATGCAGTTAGAGAACTCTGGAGCACACATTGTACTAGCATTGCTGATATTTCCAGGTTTTTGAAACACTCAGCCTGGATGAGACTCTCATGAAAGCAGGTGCTCGTCTGCTTTGCTCCCTCCAGGCTTGGCTACTAGTTGGTACCTGGATTACAGCAGATGCCCCATTGATGCCAGTTGGAGGGGAAATGGATGAAGTGGAGAGCTTGAATTCTTGGTGGTCGAGTGGAGACTACTCCATGTAGATGTGAGGAATGATGGTGGTGAGCAGTTTGATGGATAGTTCTGGCTTTTTGAAATAGTTGATTTGATGGATTTCCTAGTAAACTCCATTCTCTCTTTCTATTTTCTCCTTCCACAGGCTGTCATCTTAGAAAATGAAGAACTCCCCAAACTGTTTCTTGATTTCCTAAACGTGAGACACTTGCCCTCCCTCCCAAAGGCAGAGAGTTGTGGGTAAGAATTGTTGGTTACTTACAGGACATGTATTTTAAGATCCTCATTTGTCACTTAGAAATAAGCAAAGGTCCCGGAGTGGCGGTGTGGATGGGCCTGGCCACACCCCTTCCTTGGCCTCGCAACAGTGCAAGCTCACCCCCTGCTTGTAGCCAAAGGAATTCCTCCAAAGTTCTCATCCCCACAGAGTGGCCAAATTTGGTGGTGCATGTTTAGAGTTAAGAAAGTGACTTCTTAACTGACGTTCTTTGGGATAACGTCCATGATGGAAATCATAAGTCTGGATACTCGAGCACAGTAAGCACATTTCTTCACAGAGTTTTAAAGCCATCGGTGACCTTACAGATGACTTGACCCAACTCCATTTTATATTTGAGAAAACTGAGACATGAGAATCAATTGCCTTTCCCACCATCTCTCGGCCTGTAGCTGACAAAGCTTATATCTTACCAGTGTCTACATTCTTTCCCCACGCCTTCTGCCTTCTCCCTCAGGGGCCTGAGTACAGGCTGAAGATCCTAATCCCTATCCAGCATGAACCAGATATTGATATCAGCAATTGGGAAAAGGTCTTCTAAAGAATTAAATATGAAACTAGCCACTTGCCTAGCTCTGGGCACCTGATCTGGGTTAAGCTAGCCTGGGAAAGCAGTTAGCAACGTCCCTTAAACAGACAGTCCATTTGCAAAGAAACACAGCATAGCATCATATGCTGCAAACCCAGACAGGGCCAGCCAGCTGGGAGGAGCCACACTAGAACTAGATTTTGGAGCTAAACACACCGGAAGTCATGTCAAACCCCAGCCACCTACTGGCTGAGAACTGTGAATACCTGTCACAGCTCCATCCCCCGGAGTGTTCCCTCAGGTCTGTTCCCCACTCGCCCGAGCCCACTGACTGAAACAATGCCTTGCCACTGTGTTCTGTTCCAGCTTGTGTGCTCTGGCTGCAAGTCTGCATACCCTACGTGGTGATGCTTTATAAGCGAGGTGGGGTGAGAACGAGGGATCACTTCTCTCCATTACGTAAGCCCCAGTGTAAATGGTGCAGTTTTCCAGTGCTCTTCAGGAAATTTGGAATTCAAGAATATCAGCCTTCAGATTCCTTAGAATAAGGCCTCAGCCCCCTGGGAAAGCCCTCGCTCTCTTCAGAACGTCTCCCGGCCGAGAGCTGGGAGGACGCTGGCTGCCCTCACGTTGTTGACACAAACATTGGCCCCACTAACATGGTCCTCTTCTTTCCTTTTCAGATCTTTTGATGAGACTGAATCTGAAGAGTCAAGGTAAGACCAATACTCGTCTAGCAGGAGTTCCTCACGAGCACAGAGCTGTGGTTTTGCTGTTGATTCATTTTACATGATATAAATGTTTTCCAGTCGTCATTTTCTTGAAAACCTCTGTTAGCAAATTGATTTTAAGACAGCAAACACTTGATTGGCAGTTCCAAAGTTCCACTTGGGAAGGAACGGGGAATAACCCCACCTTGTTTCACACCAGCTCCGAGAACACTGTAATTTATCAATAATCATACTACAAGATTAAAAAAAAAAAAAACTTTTCAGCAACGATTTCTTGTCCCGATTGCCTTCTGTTTCACATTCGGCAAAGGCATGTTTAGAACATGAGCCCTATGAGGGCTCCTTCCCTCTAAATCTGTTTGCTATTACTCCCCCGGACCGTGAGACACAGAACCCTCCGGCAGCCCCGCACTGCAGTCTGATCCCCTCAAAGCTAGTTTGTAGTGTTTTCTGTTTACCGTCGTCCCCTGATGCTGACACGCCTGTTCTTGACCTTTCCAGCAAACTGTCCCACCAGCCGGTGCTGCTGTTCCTCAGGGACCCATACATCTTGCCTGCAGCCAGCGGTAATCAAGCCTGTCATCTGCTAACAGCTCTTTACTGATCTGACCCCGAGCCGCATAAACCACGTTTTTAATACAGGCCTAACAGAGTGACATTGGTCCAGGGCTTAATAATCTGCCAATAAACCAGTGCTCCTGGTGTAAGAGACATTTAGAATTTTAATTGGGGCAGCCCTTCCAGGAAGGAAATGTAATTTTTCTTTCTCTCTTACCGGGCTCTTTTGAATAAGAATAATAAGGGGGGGAAGGTATTTCTTGTCTGTTTTGGGTAGGGTTGCATTGGCCTCTGCTTATTTTTATCCAGAGGTTAGGGTGCGAATCTAAGGTTCTGGTCCTTTCTTAAAATGCTTCTTCCCAAAAGTTGCGTGTAATCTATGACGTGCGGATCTTTCCCCCTTAAGATAGTATCATCTTTGTTGGTCAACTAGACGTATTTTCTGAGTTGTGTACTGGAATGTAATTAATGTACAAGAAGGATCAATATTTTATCCTGAGCCCATTCTTCTTTGTGCAAGAAATTCAAATTATTCAGAGCCCCTTGAAGTGCTCGCTCTGCCTCCCAGTTCTTTGTGAGCTCATTGCAGACATGATCTCATTGAATTTTCTTAATAACCATAGGACGTATGTAGGCAGGGCAGCTGTCGTCAGAGGCTGATGAGAAAAGAAGCTCCCGGTTGCACATGCTGGTGGGGAGACTCTTTTTGCCTAACTTGTTCTCAGTGTGGTTTGTGTGTTCTGCATTTTCAGCCTTTGTTTCTGAGTTTCTGAATGACACAGCCACCGAATAGCACTCACTGAATTATCTGCTGACCTCATTCTCCGTTATGACAGCTAAACCTTATCACCAGCTCGAGAAAGGACTGATCTCAGGTCACCCACTCAGCTGTCCGTTTAAAGAAGGTGGCTCACATATAGTCTGCTCTGGTGAGGGCCGTCCAGCGCCCAGAGAGAGCTGCCTTTACTGCCTAAGGGTGTTTTTCTATAAAATCCCCTCCGTGAGGCATTACTGCCTTTCTTTAGCACTTGCTTCCTTTGTTAATGTAAATTATAAGCTTCGAGTCAGTTATATAGACTATAGAAGATATAAATTATAAACACATAGTATATCACATTATAAATAATGTTATATTTACCAGTTGTCCATAAGGTAACCAGGTGCATGGTACATGGTCGTCACTGTCTTATTCTTACTCTCTTTTTAAAAAAAAAAAAGGGGGTGCCACCATGGGTGATTTGGTGATGGGAAGCCCAAGGAGATTGCAACTGAGATGGAAAAATGCACACAATGATGGAAAAATAAACTATTATATAACAACAGCAACAAAATGGTGCCGCAAACATTTTTTCCAGGTGCTGATTCTGCTCAGGCATTTCACGCATCTCACCGAAACCTTGGAGAAGTGTTAGCGCAGGACCTCTCCTGGGCACCGGAATAGTTGGGGTGCTTTATGGGGGAGGGCAGGTATTTTATGACCCTTAAATCTCATATACTCCACTTACTGAGGAGCTTGTGCCGTGCCTGTGGTTTGACAGGCAAGAACAGGAGGAGCTTTCTGGAAAAGAACACTGGGGACACATGTCTGGATCTAGAAAGAATCAGGAGGATGAGTCACAGGGAGAATGTGATGTAGTTGTATGGTTTTCAGAAAAGGGCTTCTTGTTGGAGAGTAAATGCCAGTCATGGGTCTGGAGGTCAGGATGGAAGCAGGTTCAGTGACGACCCCAAGGTCCGTTTTCTAGGAATGTGGGCAGCTCAGTGTGATTCATCATGTGCGAGGAATGTACTCTTGCACATCTTGTGCGTTGAAGATAAATTTTACTCAGGACATATTTTCACAGTATTACCCCTCTTCACAATGAGTTGAGGCTGCTATTCCAGAGGATGGTGAATGTGGAAATGTTGTCACAGAGACACTGACCTCCACAAAATCGAAGCACAGTCTGTGCTTAAAGCTCTGGCTGTCATCTTTTCCTGAAACTAATAATCAAGCATTATTCTGGGGAAAATGCAGACGACGCCTGCTAAGGCCCACAGTGGCTGCCACGTAGTTGAACTGTGGACATATCTGAGGCCTGAGCTCCCTTGGGTCTCCTCCACTGTGGGCACCACTGGCCACTTTCTCCTCCTTCAAGCCGCGTCTCCCTTTGGCTTCCACCCTTTCTCTTCTCCCCCAGTCCCAGCAGCTCACCTGCAGGCCATCATGGGCCCTGCTTCTCCTCATGACTTTCCTTTTGAATCACCTCCTTGCCGTTGGCCTTGACCACCTGCGTGTGCATGGGGCTCGCACCAGCGTTTCCATCTCGACCCTCTCCCATAAGCACCAAACTGTTCTTTAAAAAA